GCAGTGTTTAATTACTAATAATTCCTAAATGTGACTCTGTTAACTAGGGAAAAAAATGCACCAGCTCCTAGTGAGCCAAAAAAGCCTATCAAAACCTGTTGCAAATAGATGGAGTGACGTGAATTCTCCTTCATCGAGCCCTCCTTTTTTTTTTTTACCCTGAATTCTAGAAGCTACACAAAGAAGAGCAAGTATTGTATTCCCACCATAAAATCCATGCCACGATGCACCTTGTAGCACCATAAATATGTGTCCAGCACTTAGAGCTTGCCAAATTGTACTCTAAAATTAGACAGCACATAAATGAGACCAAATACACCTGCTCCTAGTCCATTATAAAAATCTGGTCCCCCGAAATCTCCAGATGAAAAAGATCCAGATATGGGCCTGGGACCAGCAGGATCCCATTCAGTTTTTCAACCTGCGTCCCCAAAGTTTTGCTTTCTAGAACAAGCATTGCCTTCCTTTTCACTAAATCTGCAGTTGGGTATCCCCTGAATGAGAAGCACATTCTTGATATTTTTAGAGAAATAGCTGGCCATGTTACCCTGATGTTAAGTGGAGGGCAGGGTAGATTTGCACCTTACAGACTAACCAAAGCAGCTTTTATTTTATATATATATATATATATATATATATGTCACAACCCAAAGGGTGTGATTTTTGATTTTGTGTGCTTCGGCACTGCTACATTGTCCCCGCTAAATTGCAACTTCCTTGCACGGTGGAGTTTTCTGCTGCAAAAGAGAACCCCGGTGCAAGGGAGAATTCCCGCCAATTTGAAGCTTTCTTTGCAGGGTGCATTTCTTTGTTGCAGCACAGAAATGCTCGTTGCAAAGAGTTCCCGCCATTTGTATGCTAATTCGAGTCCCATTATTGGCCAGTTCTAAATTATTCACACGTGGCGGCTAGTGATTGGCTTGCTAGCCGTATAAGAGGCTTGAGTGGTTTCCGCCCAAGTTGGAGGACTCCACGAACAAGGGAGGAGGAGACTTCACGCTGTGTGAAGATCTCCGTGCAAATGAACCGGACCCACGGAGCCTAGCAAACTTCGTGTGAGTCCTTGCCGGACGACTCCAGAGCTCTTTTACCCAGGTTCGAGTCCTGCAGGTTTATTTTCCCGTCACCGAAACCCTTTGCGACGTACCCTCGTGCCCTGCAGGTTCGAGTTTTGTTTTGTTGTCTGTCTGTAACCACAACTCAAGCAAGTTTTCCAGCCTACACCACTGCCATCTCGGTGTAAGTAAACAATCTTTAAAACTACCGATACGTGTCTGTGCCTAATTCCAGCTCAAAGGCCTTCCCTCTCCGACCCAGCGTGCCCAGGCTGCTGGCCACAGCCTGTGTGCAGCGCGAAAAGGGCTCGGGTTGCTCCCGGCCCGCACTATATATATATATATAATATATATGAGTACACTGTTGGGTTAGCCACTGTTCTGACTAGCCCCATGTTTGATAGAAATAAGTAGATCAGTTGTTCTCAGCCTTTAATGGATACAGGGTTCCCTTGCTTTATACAGGTTCTGTATGTGCGCATTCGCTCTTATGTGATGACTCTTTTTTATACCAAAAATTTGTTACGTGCGAGGTAAATTCACCCTTATGTGATCGATGTGGTGGAAGCCCAATCAGCTGCTTTGTGCAGTGACACGCACCAAAATATAGTTTCCCGCATGGATCTGCGCTCCTCGCCTGTTGTCTGCGACATGTGTTTCTGTAGCTGCCATCCCCATTAAGGTAGCGCCCTATGCTTGTGTGTGCTGTCTGCTGTAGGAGTCCAAAATTGTCTTGGAAAAGTGATAGAAATGGGTCTGGTGGTCAGTACAGTCAAGGTCTTGGAACGTATTCCTATTTGTTGCATTGTAAAATGGGCTCCCTTTACGTGAATTCGAGTTATGCACCGTGTTCCAGAAACACATGTACAGCATAAAGTGAGGGAAACCTGTATATATATGTGCGTAACATAGCTCAAGCTTTCATGAGCTGATGAACATGCCTGAAGAAGAGCGTTCGTGCCTGAAAGCTTGCGCAAAGAACAACTTTTCCAACTATTTAGTTGGCCTAATAAAAGCTCTCCCATTTACCCATGTCCACGAGGGGCCAGCAGGGGAGATTATGCTTAGGGGCAACCAACATGGATGGGTTCATTAGAGGCAGGTCCTGTCAGACCAACCTGGTGGTCTTCTATGACCAGGTCACAAAATCCTTAGATGCAGGGGCAGCAGTGGATGTGGTCTTTCTGGGCTTTAGGAAGGCCTTCGAGACTGTCTTTCACCCCATTGTCATTAAAAAACTAGGAGACTGTGGCGCTGATACCTACACAGTCAAATGGGTCGCTAACTGGCTGGAGGGCCGCACCCAGAGAGTGGTGGTGGACGGGTCTTATTCCACCTGGATGGATGCGGGCAGCGGGGTCCCCCAGGGCTCAGTCCTCAGACCCGCGCTGCTCAACATCTTCTTGTTGGGCGACTTGGACGAGGGGGTGAAAAGCATCTTGTTCAAATTCTCAGACGACACTAAGATGTGGGGAGAAGTGGGCACGCTAGAAGGGAGGAATAGGCTGCAATCAGACCTGGACAGGTTACAGGGGCGGGTGGCTGAGAACAGGATGGGTTTCAACACTGAGAAGTGCACGGTGCTGCACCTGGCGGGGGACAACCACTGGTCAGGCTGCAGCTGGAGTACTGCATCCAGTTCTGGACCCCGCACGTCAGGAGGGATGTGAACAGCATGGAGAAGGTCCAGAGGAGGACCACCCGCACGGTCAGGGGGCAGCAGGGCAGGCCCTACGCGGAGAGGCTACGGGACCTGAACCTGTTCAGCCTCCACAAGAGAAGGCTGGGGGGGATCTAGTGGCCATTTACAAACTAGTCAGGGGGACCCGCAGGCACTGGGGGAGTCCCTGTTCCCCCCAGCACTACCGGCAGTGACTAGAAATAACGGTCCCAAGTCAGGGTCTATACATTTCAGCAGCAGTCGGCACCCCCGCTTGTGCTATACACATGGAGAGAGAGAGAGAGAGAGAGAGAGAGAGAGTGTGTGTGTGTGTGTGTGTGTGTGTACACATACCGGTGTAGGGGTACGTAGGCGCACACGCACGCGGGCAGCGCCCCGGAGCAGCTGGCAGTGACTAGAAATAACGGTCCCAAGTCAGGGTCTATACATTTCAGCAGCAGTCGGCACCCCCGCTTGTGCTATACACATGGAGAGAGAGAGAGAGAGAGAGAGAGAGAGAGTGTGTGTGTGTGTGTGTGTGTGTGTACACATACCGGTGTAGGGGTACGTAGGCGCACACGCACGCGGGCAGCGCCCCGGAGCAGCTCCGGGCGGGGGCGGGGCGCGCAGGGCCCCCCCCCCTCAGC